ATAAAAAAACCAATCTAAGCCAAAATGACAATATGAGCTATAATGCAATCCAGCTGTCAAAATTTATCTTAACGCTTCTAATCTACCTTCATCTATCTATACAAAGTAATTTAAAATCTTAACTATTATTAACTTTTTTTGACTTGAATATAAATATGTTTTTAATGGCTAATACTATTTTATATGCACATTTGGTATTTAAAGAGATTAAAACGAAGCTCTCAGTCTATTCACAATCACAACTATATTTTAGACCATATACAATAAGTCAAAGCAAGAAATATTAAGTGCAGTAAATAAAATCAATAGAAGATGACCAAACTGAGCGCATCTAGTCGCGTTTCCTATAGATAAGAAAGTTTTGTTTAATGGTAGGCTTTAATTAAACCAGATATCTTGATGCTATTTAAATCGATATTATTAATAGAATTTATTATTTTGTAATTAGGATAACCTTTGTTCTACAATAATTTTACATCAACAACTTGATAAAGAGTTTATGGCAGCATTCCTTATGAGCTCATTATACGCGCATGCTTTTAAGAGACGTAAATACGAAGATGATCGGTTTAACAATTAGACAAATGCCGTTTTCTACTAGTTAAAAGTTTTTTCCTACTTTATTACCAAACTTCAAATAAAGCTCGTAATTGGGATAATTGAAGGCACAGAATCAACAATAAAACAATAACTATGCAAAAGTTTAATACCATCGACAATTACAAAACAATTGATTAGTGGGGGTTGGGATGCAAATAGATCTTTCATTACGGCCTCTTCACAATTTCAATTACAATCGATAAAATGTAATAGCGCTAATAGTTATATATCTATATGCTGTAGTTAGTCAGCATTATACCATTAAGACTAATTAAGTGATACCACGATTGATATGGAGAGAAAAAATTTAACTAACTAGCATATTATTAGGTTCTCGGTTAACATTGCATACTAAGAAGGTAAATAACATTGTCAAGTTATTAGTCATTCTGTTTTCTCTCTCTCTCTCTCTCTCTCTCTCTATATATATATAGCGATTATTCACAAGTACAGTTGATCAGCCTAAATTTTAAATTGAATTGAAAAGTTATTTTAAGCCATTTACTTGTCCAACTCTCTACGGAGCATGCTTCTAGTAAATACAGTAAGCTTGATCACAGAATACGAGAACTCTTCTTTGGATTAAAGACTGATGTAGATAAATCCATTACATCCATCGCGGTACACGTATAGTTAACTAAATGAATAATGCACGATCAGTCAAGAATTTTATGGTTATAGCAAACATGCCCAAGGGGGTATGGGCGAAAATAAGTTACGGAAATAGATCAAATTGCAATAGACCAGTGTCGGTCTTGTATCATACTTGTATCTAAATTATTAGCCCATCGGGATCTATAGCAACGATAGCAATTACATAACGATATGCATGCGACTCGATAAATAGCAACTAATCATAATTAATAATAGAGTATTTCAGGAATCTACATGAAATATTTGGAGCTAGGGCATTTGTGAATCTATTGTTGTGAATGCTAATCCAGTATTGTTATACAAATTCCCTTAACAATTCCAATTTATTATTTTACAGATTGCGATATTCATTTGTGGCGATGAGGCTAATTTGAATTTTGTCATATTCAATCTAGAGGATTAAGTTATAATCCTTATAATACCAAGGTAAATAATGAAATACAATACTTTCCAAGGCCCAAGGAAGACTACGATAACTAACAATTATTTTCTATTCATTTGAAATAGATGCTATTGATGAATACTTTACCTGATTAAATAACATTAATAGAAAATGTTTTTCGTTATAAAGATAATGAATACGTTTACGGAATAATTTTATCTAAATTTTTGTTGTTTAGATCAAAGAGTGACGCAAAATCGATGAAAATCAATAATTATCTTGTTGATTCTTTCATAATTAATTAGGGTAATTTTTATATTTATAATTATTATCGGCGTGGATCGTTGAAAGTAATACAATCATCTTTCTATTTTAAAATTTTTCACCTTAAATCTAGCGGCTATCAATTCATTACGTCATGATTTTACTATTTAATCTTTAAAAGCACTATTAAGTATTACTATGACAAATTTACTGTTTATAATTTGAGATACTGCGATGAACAATTATGATTATTGGATAGAGGTCAATAAAGATACTAACGTTATTTATTATAATAATAATAAAAACCATCCACTTAGATTACTAGTAGAATATCTCCTTCACATCGTAAAGCGTTTCATGAAATTGATCAAAAAATTTGCCGCTCTACAGTTGTTGATGAATACAGCTTTTCCGTAAGAAAACTGCTACTAAGGATACTTAAAATTAATCAATTTAGTTGAAGTAATATTACTATTGTTTGAATTAAAAGTATAACCATAAATTTTTTTAATTCTGGAAAAAATTTTGACGATATCGTAGAGAGTAAAGTGAATTAAATTTGGATGTAGTGTCTCACCAGGGAAGATATGACTGTCTAATTGGTACCATTAACATAATTTTTGATCAGAGTTTTATGATCTCAAGAAAATAACTATCATAATATTCATATATTTACGTTACTCTATGATGGCTAATCAGTAAAGCAAAACTAATTTTTAACACTTTAGGATTAAAGAACGTAATATACGTAATTTGAATGTTATTGGTATTCCAAGTTTCAATAGATTGAAGCAGAAGAATTTAATTTTGGTATAACCCATGTCACTAGTGTAAACTGCTATTTATCTTAAATGAGTTGTTAGAGTCAAAGTTACAATATGTTATTATACTTTTTACCGCTAGAATAATTACTTAACCCTTTGTAGTGTTATTGGCGCTTTAATTTGGTTTACTTAAACTAATATCTCGCAAAATAGACTTACATAACGGAATATTAATCTACTAATAGAAGTCAAGTATTTTCATAAGAAAAATTACAATATTCTCCAGCTTTTGGCTTTTGTTTTATCTTAGACTGTAAGAAGTTGCTCTAAACCATAAATTAATATGCTATTTATGATTATCCATTTTCAGCTACTACTATTAAAGAAGAACCATTTAAGATCTAAGATTACTAGTTATTGCTTTAATTTTATTGCGGATACGAAAATAATACGACTATGAATTATCGACAATCAAGTAATTATTGGCACAGTATCTGAATAATTTTGTCGATACATCTATAAAATTTATTTTAAGGTGCTCTCTATAACTTAACAAAAATCTAATGCTTGATTATTATCCCAGATACGTATGTATTTTAGAATAGCTGTTATTACTGAAAGGTTTGTAATTCGTTCATTTCCACTACATTCTAACATCCCACTCTTATGAAATTAGTCTTCATTAATATCTATCAAGAATAATTAGTTAGATCTGTTAGTCATTAAATTTGTACCATATTCTAATCAGTAATTGTTGTGATATATAGACACATCCGTACGTATTTCTGTGCATAAATTGATTGCATTAATTATATCTTTTTAAATTAAGACAAATTCTAGCTCATTGTGACCTGACACAGTATCATTAATTTAATTCTAAAATTTGACATTCACGGATGTTCTGGTAACTAGCATAATTATTTACAGTTCCTCTTTTACAAGCAGCTATGAATACAGAATCTAGCAGGATTCTTAATCGATAATTTGAATTAAAATATATAAATTTTAATGTACGTATTCAGTCAAAGTCTGGCTTGTTCTTTGTAAATATTTTAGTTCGAATTTCGATTATGAATTGTCCTTAATTACTAATTAATTATCAGTCTAATTTTACCTCTAACAGATATTTCATCAATATTATAATCATTATGATGAAGTAGAAATAAGTCTCAATTATGCTACATATATTAACGCTGGCCTAATATTTCAATAACAGAATAGGAGTAATATTGTGATAATATCTGAATAAATTTAAAATGTTAGCCTTTAAATCTAATACATTTAGCATTGATAAAAGTACAATTCCTTTATTTATTTGACTATAAATACTATTTGTAAGTTCCTATAGCTAATAATAATTTGAAATGAATTCATTTTCATACCCACTTTCAATGACAATTCCTATCATCTTCAGTCATAATTATTTTAAGCTACTCACATTAAATATTCAAGAGAATTCCATGCTCCACTAGCTTTAAGACCGCTGCAAATTAATATCTTTCAATAATACCTATACTGCAGTTGAAACTTTTAACGAAATATAATGTCACAAATTCATCTAGGAACTATTGATTAAAAAGATAAATTTTGGATGTGTGCTTAAATATACCGTATGGCACTTTCCAACATTTCCATGCACATAGATTTCTTTCATTAACTCATAAATATCAGTTATTGTCGCTTGGCTAACGAAGATCTCATATTAATTATTGGATAATTGAGGATTACTGGTATCATCCAACTTTGTCGTTCTCTGCAATACTAAAATGCACTTAATATAAATTTATTTCATAAAACAATCATGCATTAATTATTAGTATCATTGATTTGCAGAGTTCAAATCATTTTACATTGGTGAAAATTTGTTATCAAGTCTAGCGACTATAAATTTTTTATTAAATAAATCTTTCTTATCGTTAATAGAGTACAAAAATTACAACCTCGTTGAGGCAAAGACTAGCACGGTATAAATTTATTAATTGATAGCCACTTGATTTTACCGTATGTCCGATAGTTATATCATCTTCCTAAGAGTATGTTGATATCATGCCAAGTGCAGCAGTAATAGACTTTTAGGTAGAAGTTAACTAACTCTAAATACTCCTTTAGTTTTATTAAAGCCAATTATATTATTGACATATTGAACTGTATACAATTATTTTAGCTCTGAGACAAGTATATCGCACAAATGATAACCGTAAAGCAAAATTAAATAAAATTCATTAATCGTCAACTTATCTATGAGTTCGTTTATTACCTTAATCCTGTATTTTCTAACAAGCTAATCTTCTCATTTTGTCTTTACTTTAACTTTTATATAGTATTGATGTTCCGAAATGTGCAATCTAATCGCATCGATCAACGAAAGTCTTAATGACAATAGAACTTCTACGCCAGCAACTCATGAAAACTCAACACAAACGACTAACGTCATCCCAGTTCTTTACGTCTTTTTTGCAATTTTAGCAATTATTGATAACTTTATGATCTGTCTACTCTTCCTGTCACATCGATCATTATTAAATCAAGCTTCCAATCGTTTTATCCTCTTACTTGCTACCGTCGATGTTCTAACGGTTATTATAGTAATTATTTCGCCGGTTGGCCAAGTCTTTGGTGATAATTATCCTTATCCACGGGATCGCTCTATTGGTCCTATATTTTGTGCAGTTATCGGCTCAGAATATTTCATATGGGCATTTGGATTTACTTCTGTGTACACCATTGCTATTTTAAGCATTGAAAGACTGTATATGGTTGTCCAACCGAGATACTATAAAAAATTGTTCACATCTTCCAATGTCAACATGATGATTGCAGGTTTAATTGTGTTGGGGCTAATCATAGCTATGGCAAATCCATTTCAAAGCAGATACGAACCATATGTAAAGAAACCATGTAAATGGGTACCATTAACTAAAAATGAGCAAATTAATACAATACTTTACACAGTGATATTTGTAATGCAGTTTCTTCTTCCTTCCACTATTATATCCACTTGCTATACCATTATTGCATGTAAAATAAGAAAGATTAGCATCATGGATGTTAGTATGACCCATAGTATAAAATCTGTTAATAATCGTCGAGTTAAAAGACAAGTAACGTTAATGATTTTTGCAGCATCCATTATCTTGATTATATGTTGGCTGCCGAATCAAATCTATTTCCTTCTCGTACAGTTAAAGGTTGTAGAGACATTGACTAGTATACACTTGTTAACTAAAATACTAGTGATAGCAAATTCTTCACTCAATCCTTTTGTCTATGTGATTTTTAATAAGAATTATAGAAAACTTATGATGCAAACATTTTGTAAGATATGTCGTCGTCGGTTTTGGGGATTAAGACGAAAAAAAGTTCACATGCAGGTACCATGATATTTTAGCTCATGTACAGAGAGATCAGCGATTGGTAAATTGCTTTGGCAAAATCATATTGCCGCCATTCAATTCAACTTACTAATATCGACAATTAATAATTCTGAATGATCTTTGTCCATAAACTCAGTTACAATCTACAATTATACAAGAGCCAACATGAAAATTAATGTACCGTTGAAAAATACAGATAATTCTCGGAGAAATAGTTAGATTTATATTTTCAGTTCTATTCATACCGCACCGTAACACATAGAACGCTATTTTTTTAATAGCCACTAAAGTAACAGTATTTATTAAGGATATGTCGCGTAAATTATCGAAATCGAGTAAAATAAGTCATTCTAAGATAATCGTAAATTAAAAAATCATCTTAGCCTAATTTTGTACTATAATCGATGAGTAAGATAATTTTATTGGTAAGATGGATTGTAGATCGAATTTAAATCACCATGTAATTGTATTTAAATTTTTATTGTGGGAGTGTTATCAAACTTTGCGTATTTCTATAGCGGTACTTAATCATAATAATATATTTTCTGAAGCTGTAAAAAAATCATGATAAAAATATCTATTTAAAGAAGCTGATGAGAATATCATCAATAGCTTACTAAATAAAAGTATTGGCAAAGCATGCTATTATATCTTAATCAAAACTTGGATATCGACAGAATGTGTCTATATTGAAACAAATAAGTAAAAATTTGGGGTTAAATATGGTAATGAGAAATTTATCGTATGGTAATTGATATCATGTATAAAATCATACATGTTTCATTTTAAAAACACTCTAAAGTTTAATAAATTTAGAACAATTTAAATAAAAATTTGCTAGCTAATGAAAGCATTAGAAAAACTGCTGCGACATGCATTGAGATTGGTATTGCACCTTATTATAGTTTAGCATAGCTTATATCAAACAGTTGTTTGTGTTTTAATGCTAATTTCAGGCAATTATAGTTTTTATACCGAATGGATGTATATAGCAACTCAAAGTATTAGTGTTATTCGTTTGAAAGGATTACCGTATATTTCTACAAAGTTATCGTCATGCATGAGGCAGTGTTGATAAAGCGTCTTCGAATATCATAAATAAGCTGCAATTCCTTACTTAACTTTATTACAATAAAGTTGTTTCGTCTAGAAGATATCAACTTCAATTTTAAACTACTTTTGGTGCTACTATACGTTATAACACAATACTTTCACAAGCATATTATCCCATCGCCCTGTTATACAATTTATATCTTGCAATTTGATATACAATTACGTACAAGCTACGGGATAGTAAGGGAGATGCTTAACATTATATTTTGTCAATATTACTGATATCAGTCCATCATTAAATAGAACCAATAATATCGATACGCATTGGACGTTAATACATGATGAAAACAGCATCAATAGCTTTAGATGAAATAATTTGGTAGAGATTCTCAAATCATTGGGTTACCGCACGTTTCGTTGTGAGATCACCTGGTATTCGATTTGTATTCCGTTATGGATGAGATTGGGCACAATTTTCGTTAAATGATATTTAATAGTAACATAAGATTTTATCATAATTTTAGCGCCTTATTGTATTCTTATTTTTAAGAGCTATTCTATTGCTATAGCTAATCAAATAAAGAAACATTACATATTGAGCCGATCCCATTATCCTTACGGACAACTAATATTTGGAATTCGATTATTGGATTGGTGGGGTTTAACTCTTTACTCTGTTCATCAAGGTTTAAAGTTTTGGATTATAATTTATTCTATAGCATTGACACATAGAACTGTTGTAATCTTAGTTTTGTAGTTGCGTACAGTTTAGAATGTAAATTGCGCGTAAAGGACATACGAGTATCAGTCTTGTTTGTAAGCACGTACCATCCATTGCGAATACTTGTATTTAAATAGTATAGTATTCAAGTATTCGGGAGTCAGTAGTTTCCTCAGAGCTCGTAGTCGAGCGTCTACGATTAGTAAGTTGAATTTCTTCTCAAATATTATAAACCCTGTATTGCTTGGCAATAACGGAGGATTCATCTGTAATGCATTGTGCATTGCATTATTCTTACCCCACGGTTACGTGCAGTGTTGTTAATAGAGAAATAAAGTATTACTTAACCGAAGATTACCATGCTGTATTGCGCGAGTAGGTCGAGCATATCAGCTATCCGATAGTTGGAGTACTTCGTAAGCTAACTTCCAGCTCCGTCTCATCACGATATACCGAACTGCAACAAGAACATCGTTTATTTGGATATTACTATCCAAATGCATTAATTTCAATACAAATTTTATTAAGATTGAAGAATTTTATTAATTTACGGTATACTATCCATTTATAGCGGTGTAAATGTGAATAGAAGATTTTGAATATATTAATTATTTAGCAAGATATTGTGCGCCCAAAATACACTATGCTACAACATTCTAGGCAGATTTTGAGTAAGGCATTTAAAAATAAGAGTTTCCTAAAGTTAAAGGAGTAAAAAATTATAAATGTACCATTGGATAGGTGAAATATCTAGTTCTATCGTTAATTTGACTTAATTGCTTCTGTATTCTAAACTTGCCTTATGAGGTCAATGGCTCTCCTGGGATTATCGAAAGATTTATTAACTATATTTAGCTAGTTGATATGACCAATAAATAACAAAACACGATGATCATTCGTAATGTTTATGGCACGTAGACAGGAGGTATATGAGTATTATATCAAATAAATGTATTTTGATAAGACAAACATAACGATGAAATATACTACTTTAATTAGAATCGAAATTATTTCAAAGCATTGCCAACAGATTTTTGTCAGTCTTTTCGATTGTTGTAAATTTTATCTGTTAAAAATAAGATGGATCGAAAAGTTCAAGGATGTGCTATGGTCATACAGTTTATGACTATTTAGTGATCACCAGTAAAGTTGAGGGGTTGTTCACTATCATTGGTTAAAGCAAGTAGTCGCTAAGAATTCAGCTGGTAATTTTAATGCTAGTGTCGAAATTCTGTTTCTGACAGCCCATTTCATTCATTTCATGGATCTTTTTCTTTCGATAAATAGAGTCTTGTATTTGCATCCAGCTACATATCCTTCAGATCCTCTGTAGTCACAGGTTCAGGTTAAATTGCAACACCAAATAGGTTGCTCAATGAGAAAGTGCATGCTAATTTCGTAATTTCTATTGATTTTGCCATGATACTTCAAGACATCATAAGAATCGGCACCCGACATATAATAATGGCGGATTATAATATAGTCCAGTAGCATCATTTCGATATATAGAAGTAAAGTACCTCAATATTAATTTTCTACTTTTCTAACATCTTGGTAATACATGTCAAGTTTTGACACGTAGCAAACTCGCAGTATTGGATATTAACCTGCCAGGAAGTTTATGCGTTATTTGTTTGAGTGTATCCCAAAATAGCTTTCGAAAATTTGGGTCAATAACTACATAAATAACTGGATTAATAGCTGAGCTTGAGATTACAAGTACTGCACGGATATTTAGCCATGGATTTTTAGATTTGAAGATCTGAAGCTGAACCAATGTGTAAATGAGCTGATTTGGAAACCAGCAAATAAAAAATGCTAATGTAATCATTATTGAAATGATCGATATTCGTTTAGTTTGCCGACGCCATGTTTCTAGTGTAGGTGATGTAGCATTATTACTAAGGCATCCTGCACTTATTACTTGCTTATTTCGTATTGAATTTCGCCCCATGTTTACAGCATACTGATTCGACGGCGAGCTAAATTTTGTCTTACGAATTTGATATGCAAATGTAACATAGCTAATAAATGTAATTGTGAACGGTATAATAAATTGTAGGGCTATCAGCGTGAAATAGACGACAGTATTAGTGAAAACGATATCCGTTAATGGCAAGCATATACAAGGAATCGTTTGATCATGAAAGTATCGGACATGTAAAATGTTGGGAATGGATAACGCCAAACCGATAATGAATACCAAAATCATGATATAATACATGCGATAAGTTCGAAACAAGGAATGATGGACATTGGGCCATACAACAGAGCTCATCCTTTCTATACTTAAACTAGTTATAGTATAGACAGATACAAAGCCGAAGCCCCAAATAAAAAAGTCTGAGCCAATAAAGGCGCAAAACACTGGACCTGATATATTGCCACGCGGATAGGGATATGATGAGCCAAGAATCTCAAATGATGGCGAAACTAGAACTAGGATTACAGTTAAAGCATCTACTACCGCCAAAAGGAAGATAAATCGGCAAGAAGGGAATTTATTCATTAACGATTGGTTCAAAGTAAGTAGTGAACATATCAGAAAATTAGCGATAAATCCAACGGCAATAATAGCGATGTAGATGATTTGCAAAATAAGAGGGTGTATAAAGGAGGCAACAGATGAAAAGGCGGTAATATCTAACTGATCAGGGGATATCGTTGAATTTTTCAGGGTAATCATGATAGTAATTTGATTAAAGATTTCCTACTTAAAGGCAGATGGTAATATAAGACGATATACAACGGAGTTATTTCTTAATTAAATTGAAATGTATAATTAATTAAGCTGTCGGTGTCTAACAAAGATTTCCCTATCGGTATATTAACTTTGCTTGACATATATTTATAACTTAATCTGATTCCGTTAACTATGGAAACAGCTCTGAAAACGCATTAGTTTTTTCCTTTGTATCGTTTCATAGATTTAACCTTAAAATGCTATTTTACTTTCAATAAAATTACAGAATGGCCTTAGTTTATTAGAATTTTTATTCATCGTGTCTTGTTTTTGACAATAGCTGTACGAAAAGAATTAAATTAGTCTTCTTAAAGGACTACTTATTAAATAATTTGTTTTCAAGAAGTTGATTTCATAAAGATTAAACTTTTTTGAACTTTGATCTAATAACATTATAGGCAATGGTGTCAAGTGACAGTTAATATCTTCAATTGCCTTTAATAGGTCGAATAGCTTTGTTAAAAGGATATCCATACAATGCACTTAATAGCCACTGTTACTGTTTCTTATTATAGTCTAAAGTGCGTGATTAATATATGCTACTTATTCCCGGCTGGTAATCGAATCTGGCGAGCTAAACTACAATGTTTCGTTTATGCTATATATAATACATATTTTACACGCTATATTGAAACTATTACTTGGAAACATAATGGAAGTGAATACAATTAAGGATGGAGTATCTAAATTATAAATTCTTGCCGATAAAGCTACTCCGTTTATGACTATAGTATTAAGTAAAGAGATTTATTTTATAAATGCTTAAAATTCTGGCTATGAAAGCATGAGTAATAGTTATTACAAAAAGTAAGAGTGGAGTATCAAAATTTCATTAAGTGAAAGCCGTACTTTATCGGAAATTGATTTAAATTTGGCATTATGTCAGAGATTTATTCAGAAGGATATTATGCTGCTTTCTATTAGTTACATTATCCTCGCGCACTCTCATAATAGATTCAATAAAGGTAAATTAAAGCAGACGACGACATATTTTTATGAATACCGACATCTAGTCTAATTGTTATTTAATAGTTGATTCCATTAAAAAATTCAACCAGCGATGGATTTATCTGTCTTGTTTATTATTCTGTATCTCCTTTATTTGTTGATGGTACGGAGCAAAGCACTGTACATACTAATTAAGTAGATTTCGTTATGTAGCTAATGGCAATACGGTAAAAAGTAATTATGAATATTAATCGCGTATAGTTTTGTTAGACAGCCAAGACATAAACGTGTTCTGAAATTAATTAGTATAATCTTAATAGATACTAATATTGGAGTCATTTTAGCACCCGCCGCGATGTGCGAGTAACGTGCGAGTAATATAGATCTACAACACGGTAAATCTCCAGGTGTAGTGGAGATAGGAATAAGTAATCTATTAGTTTAGGGTAGTAGTTCGCAAGTTAAGTTTGTGATAGCTGAATAATAAGGAAACTGAAACAGTTGCTTTGAAAAGACTTTTAATATCATTGTTTTTGAATCCTTGATATATTGTACATCCACCGGTGCAACAGTATGATTCATGTGAGGGTGTCACAAAACAGCTTTGCAA